AGGTTTTGAGGTTTCAGAAGTCCATTCCAAGACCAGTTTCTGCCTGCCTGCCTGCTCCTCCCTCCCCCGCCAGAGATTAGGATATAGCGCCCAACTACTTCTGTAGCACCTTGCCTGCCATGCCTGCTGCCATGTTCTCCACCATGTTGATAATTTAGACTAAACATTTGAAATTGTAAGCAATTAAATTAGATCCACAACTAAATGCTTCCTCTATAAGGATTGACATGATCATGGTGTCTCTTCACAGTAATGGAACAGTGACTAAGACAGATACTATGGCTTTTTTTCACAAAGTGTTTCTTTTTCTCCTTCTAAAGACTGAAGTAATATTCCATTATGCCCACACATACATACATATCACAGTTTATCCATTTTTCCATTCATGGATGCCTATGATTCCATATCATGGCTACTGTGAATGCTGTTACATATCAACAGGCAATAAAAGCACTACTTTCTAAAGTTACTTACACTCTCATAATTATTGTAGTATTATATAGATATTAGTTCATATTCACTAGGATAGTTGTACCCCAAAAGACAATTAAAAGTATTGGGGAATACATAGAAAAATTTGAAACTCTCATGTATGGTGGGATGAAATGTAAAATGTAGGCACTATGGAAATCAAGCTAGTCGTTTGTTAACATATTAAGTATGTTACCATATGATTCAGCAGTTCCACTACTTGGTATTCAAAATGTGCCCACATAAAATTTATACAAATATTCAGAGAAGTATTATTTAAAATGACCAACATGAGGAAGCTACTGAAATAACAATCAATGGATGAATACATAGATAAAATGTATTGTGTATGTATAGTGCAATGTTATTCTGAAAATTGAAAGGAATGATGTCTTGACATGAGCTATAAAATGGTCGAGCCTCAGAAATATTCTAAGTGAAAGATACCAGACACAAATTATAACGTTTGTACAACCCCACTTCCATGGAAAGTCCAGAAAGAGCAGAGGCTAAGAGAGAGGCAGAATATTGGTGTTCACCAGGAGCAGGATTGAAAGGGTGGACAATAACCAGCTGATAAGGGGAAACATGTTTTTAATAATTATTGAATAAATCGGTGACTATACAAAAACTCTCAGAATTGTGTGCTCTAAATGAGTAGCTCACATGGTATATAAAGTACATCTAAATTGAAGTATTTAAGAACACTGTTCAGTATGAACAGGATGCTTTACAATTAGAGACCCCAGAGGAAGTGACTATTCAGATCCCTCCCCCATTTTCTAGACTATTCATGCTCAATTCTGATGTAAGAGAAAGATTGAAAGTTTACACTTTAGGTGAGCTGGTTGTAAAATGCAACTACAAGAATCCTAACCAACCCAATCTATTTTTCATAGAGTCTGTTTCACCAGAGTTCCCAACTCTCTGCTGAGTTAAACTGATGCTGCTCCCTACCTCTCAAATTATCTAATCTCTTCCGACTTCATCTTCTCACAGTCTGAGCTGCCTAATCTCTGACTTGTATAGGAAAATGTATTTTTCAAACATAGAACAATAGAGAGTCTGAGTGACTCATTTAGTTCTCATAATAAAGGACTTTTCAAAATACACTTACTTATTTATAATTATCTTTATAGGAGTGGAGGTATTCATGCCATGATGTAAATGTGGAGGTCAGATGATAACTTGTAAGAATTCATTCTCTCTTTCTACCATGTGCATCCTGGGGACTGAACTGAGGTTCATCAGTTTTAATGCCACGCTCCTTTTCCAATAAGTCATTTTGTCTAACCCAGCAATGTTTTGAAATATATACTAATATTATTTCCATTTTCAGGTTGAAAGACAAGAGTTTTATAATGCCTAGGTAATTTCTTCAAAGTCAGAGAACTAGTCAATTAAAATCTGAATTCAGACTGATGGCAAAAATAGTGTGCTTAATCACAATATTATTTTGATACATAAAAAGCAGTTCTTAGTCACTCTCCATATTTTAAATAATTGCACAGTTATCTAGTGAAGAAGAACTTTATTTCTCATCTGTTGTTTTTTCCCACAGGTTGTTTTATTGTCCTCCCTGCCCCAACACACATCCAATTTGTTTTTCAAATGTTTTCAATTCAAAGCTCCAACAATCAGAGCCCCAAATATTTCTTTATTTAAAAGATTCATTTGTTATGTATACAATGTTCTGCCTGCATGTATCCCTGCAGGCCACAAGAGGGAACCAGACTACATTACATATGGTTGTGAGCCACCATGTAGTTGCTGGGAATTGAACTCAGGACCTCTGGAAGAACAGGCAGTGCTCTTAACCCCTGAACCATCTCTCCAGCCCCCAATATTTATTTCTATGTCATCATTTTACCCAGCCTCACACTTTTGTGGCACCTCGATATAGTCATTCTCCCATCGTAGCACAAAATTATGTGCAATAAAAATCAGTATGAAACTCTGAATTTCCATTCCTCCTCTAACTCAAGTATCCCTTTCCCAAGTCTCAGCACTTCTCTAATCCTTTAGCACTATTTTCCACTTCAGTAGCCACTTCTATAATCCCAAGAGTGGAATCCTATATACTAATGTTTCTAGAAAAATGAAATGAAGGAAACTTCACAAAAATGATCATACTTGCCCAGATACCTGAAGAACAGATAGAAATGGAGTAAACAAATCAAAATGAGAAAAAGTAAACAAATCAAAAAGTAAGAAGATATAATAATATACAAGTAAATGCACAAATAGCACAGTGTGTTGATTAGACAATTTGGGGCTGAAATTCTGGGTTCACTACATGTGTCATCTTGTCTTAACATTTCTGTGTATGTGAGTGTGCCTGAATGTATGAAGATGTACCACACACATATAGGTGCCAGAAAAAGCCAGAAGAAGATGCCTGATGTCCTGGAACTAGAGTTACAGACAGTTGCAAGCTGAATAACATGGGTGCTAGGAATTGAACCCAGTATTCTGAACAAGTATTCTTAAAGACTGAGCTATTTCTCCAGCCCAGAGCTGTGTCATATTAGCAAAGGTTATTTTTTTTGTTTTGCTCTTTGAGCTTCCTCTCAATTTCTTAAAAAGATGGGTCATATTAATATCTATGTCTGTGATTTGTAAGGATTGAATGAAATCATATAAAATACATTCCCTCATTCAAGAAAAGCCAACACCAATATAACAATGAACAGGAGTCATTTTGTGGGGAAAAATGTGGTTTATTAGTCTTTTTTAAATTGGGAGAAAACTCTGGGAAAAATAAAATAAAACCACATCTAGGTAGGCTTTAAATATTAGGATAATTGTGGGGGTAGGGATACAGTGACTAAATTTAAAAGAGGTAAAATTGAGTGAGAAGAGAAAGGAGGAAAGAAGGAAAAAGGAAGAGGAGTTAGAAAGACAGAGACACACAAAGTTGAGGTGGAAAATGTTTTAGAGATTGGTCAAAACTAGCTGCTGAGAATTCACTACTTGGAATTCTTTTGAAATGTATCAATACTTACTTGTTTTCCATTCTTGTCACTGCTTTGCACAATGCCTGGAGCACAGTAAATGATTTTAAATATTTGTGGAAGGAATAAACAATAAGGAGAGAACCAAAACTCAGTCAATAAATAATGCAGATTCATGCATAACTAACTGAGAAAATATAGATTAGAAATAAACTGAAAAGAATCAGTTTAAATTTTGAACTTAAGAGTCTGAGAAACATGCAGAACATTCTCATTTTCACTATTAGCAAGATTCCATATGTATAATTTGAGCTCCATAAAGACAGAACCTAAGTTACAAAACTGTAGTTCATTACCATATAAAGAACAGTGGAGCATCACGTGGGTGTAGCTGCCCCGGAAGTAATAAGTAAAGGCAGTAAGCATCCTGGCAGGCAAACCGGAAGTAACTGAAGCTGAGTCACGCTCAGCCGGAGAAGAAAGCGGTTGCGGTGAGCGCTCTGGAGAGAACAAAAGTATGAAAAAATATATTAATGACTGGTCCCGTGGGGACAAACACTATGGAAGGTCTGGCTATTCCTCTCGGGAGCCACAAACAAGCTACCGATAGTAAGTTTATAGAAATATTTGATTCAAAGTTTAGAAGTCTGTCTTGGCCACGTTGGAATTAACCGATTTAAGAAAGGGCGCCAGGATACTGAAACCAGTTTGCCACGGCATTATTATTACTTGAGCTTAAATCTTAGCGAGGCACTGTTTAATCACTGTTTGCTTTAATAATGTGATGATAAAACAACATTTAACTCGTAGTTGCCATAAATAATTGAATATGGATAAAAATTACTTAGAAAAGTGCTTGTAGTTACTACTAACTATTCCTGGTCATGCTGTTGTGAATATGCTGTAGAAATGTACACCATACACCATATAGGTGTTAGGTTTTGGTTTGGGGTGGGGGTTTTTTGTAGTTTTTTTTTGGGGGGGGTGCTTGATATTTAGTCCCTTTGGTGTGAAGAGAATCGGTAAAATGATTGTGTTTTAAAACATGGAATGTTTTTAGTTACCCAACTAAGGCGTTAGTAACAGAGGTTCAGAATGGAGAATGTTCTAGAACATTACATTTTAAATGGTTTTCAACCCCTCGTGCAGTAGGCGGTTTTTCTGAGCGGGGCCTCAAGTTCTGCCCCCTTTTCCTATTGGCTACTAACCTAGGTTTTTCCGTTTCTCATTGGCCCTCGAGTTTTGGGCCCGCCTCCTAGAATAAAGCCATCCTATAGTTGCACCTTTTGATTTTAATTTGTGCCAGGGCGGGTAACTGGACCAGGATTCTTTTGTTTGTGTTGTGTTTTGTTAGTTTGTTTTTTTTTTTTTTGGTTGGTTGGTTTTTGTTTCTCTATTTTATGCTAAGTAAACAGTTTGCAAGTAATTAAAACAGATGGGTGGAGTCATTTGGGAATGGCTGCTTAAAGTTGGAGCACTGTAGGGATTTTAACACTAGGATACAATGGGAAGGTTGAAAAAAATCGATTACTTTGGCGGTTTCATTTTCTTGCTAAACAAGTCATCCTTCTGCAGCCAAAAGAGCCTGACACGTGAGGAGGTAGTGACACCTCCCCTGAAGGAGCATACCATTTCAAGCTCTCCAATGACCCTGGCTGTGGTGAGTATATGACACCATGGAATGTTGAGGAGCTGGGGGATGGCACGAGATTGGACACATGAGCAACTGGGGAATCAGCCCCTGGGGCGGGGCTTGCTCCTCACCCCTTCCTAGAAAAGATGCAGGTGGGAGGATGGGGCCCAAGTTGTCTATGACTTACTGTGTCAACCTTTCTGTTGGCGCTTTAAAAATCGGAATCTCCTGATCACTCACAAATAGTAATTATTTTTAATTCAAGGAGTAGGACTTTCTCACTAAAAGTGTGGGGACAAAGTTATTTAATCAGGGATCTTGTGAAAATGCTCTGAGGGAGTTTCATTTCTTAGTTTTTGCAATTCGTTTACAAACGCCAGTGAGTATTTATATAATGTAAAAAAAATTTCTAAGTGAGGCTGCTTAGTCTTTCAAGTCATACTTTAAAAAAAAGAAAATAACTTTAAAGCTTGGTCATAAGTTGGAACTTAGTATCCGCCCACACCTATCACTCACTCCCGAGATACTATATTCCTGTGGTATCCCTTTGTAGGTGAATGTTTTGTAAAATATTGAATATTTTTACTTACTTGCCAAGCAAAGATTCCAGAGTTATATGTGAAGAGTGAAAAGGGGGAGATGAATATGTTCTAAAGACATAGGTGTAAAAACTAGCTGCAGTTTACTTTCAATGCTGCAAACATTTGTGCTTTGACCTTTAAAATACTCAAATTTATGTGATGGTGGATTTTGCATATAGGTTTATAGTACCTATTTTGCGATTTGTGGAGGATTGGTGGATTATGATTTACCTTGGTGAAAATTTTCTCATAGGATTTTAAAACTTATGTGGATCAGGCATGTAGAGCTGCTGAGGAATTTGCCAATATTTACTATGAGACAATGGACAAAAGAAGACATGTGAGTTTTATAGTCTCTCTTGCTCTTTGTTTAATACCATTTCTCAGACCTACATAAGTAATTGCTGTGCACACATTCTCTAAGAGATGTTTTTACTTGTTTACAATTGGTGTTTTGTTTTTTCTTTTTTGGATATTTTATTTTGTTTTTTTTTGGTTTTGGTGATATTTGTTGTATTGGTTTTTTGCTTGTTTTTTTTGTTGTTGAGAAACTGCTACTTGAGAAGCTAGGGAAAGTATCTGGAAGGACTTGGGTCAAACGAAGAATATGATCAAAAATATATTTAAAATTTAAAATTGTTTTAAATAATAAAAATATAATATAGGATATTTGATCACACTGTGAACCCCAAGATTGCATTGTTTATTGGGAAAACCTGTTTCTAGTTGTGGTATGGCTCAGGCTTAGCATACACCTTTAACCCAAGAGTTTTCTTCTTGAATATTGTAAACAGGATTAAATGAAGTCGATCATAGGCCAAGAGGCAGAGCAAGCAACCAGTTGACAGGAAGTAAACATAGGAGTATCAAGAAAAAAAACATGTAGCAGAAGAAGCAGTCAGGAAGAGGGATAGAGAGACACTCAGGAAATAGAAGGGAGGGACATTCAGTTTGAGGCATGTTGTTTGAGAAGGCATAGGAGTTGGGGGAGGCTTCTGGGGTGTTGGCTGAGGAGGAAGGTCAGCTGGGTGCATTCTCTGCCTCGCTGAGCTGTCAGACTTTCACCCCAGCATATGGCTCCTGAGTCTTTATTGATAAAAATCAAACGATTAAGATTTTGTTAGCATTTGGCACCCAATGTGGGGTGCAACCACATGGACAGAGCAATCGTGCCGGCTGAGGACAAACCAAGAAGCCATCAGTTTGGTAATATACCTGGGAAGCCCTCATGGAGAGAATTTACATAATACTAAATTTCTTCCCCATGTTAAGGATGGGAAATATTATAGTACAGGTCTTTAGGACCCTGTATATTGCTACTTTAGATAGCTTGAAAATAGAAGCAGAAAATGAAAAGATAAATGACTTAACTGAGATTGACATAGTACTGATTATAATTACTATCAGTCTGGAAATTTGTATTTTATCCTTAATAGTATTTTTGTGCCAAGTATGAAAAGTGGATTCATAAGATACAAGCCTTAGAAAGACATAAATGGAAATAAAAATATGCAGACCCAAAGAAATCTAGACAAGAACCTACAACACCATTCTATGTTGAAACTGAAGAGGTGTGGATAAGGTTGTTATAAAACCAACCTTGCCAGGCGGTGGTGGCGTACACCTTTAATCCCAGCATTTGGGAGGCAGAGGCAGGAGGATCTCTGTGAGTTCAAAGTCAGTCTGGTCTACAAAGCGAGTTCCAGGACAGGCTCCAAAGCTACACAGAGAAACCCTGTCTTATAAAAAAAAAAGAAAAGAAAACCAACCTTAGCTTATCCAGTTACTATTACAAGAATTAACCAGCAGACAATAGACATTCCCAAGGTTATGAAGATGTTAAATGTAATCCAATGGAAATACTGGATTTGAGGAGATTTAAGAAAGTGGTCATTTCAAATGGCACACACATATATATTTTAAAGATATGTTGACCTTAGAATGGAAACCAGGATATGTGTTACAGTAGGGAAGAGGTTTTACCTCTGTTTCCTCAGGAGGAGAAAAGCTATGAATACCATTAAGATTGATAAATATTAGATTTAAACAGGAGTGCCCTCCTGGATAGAGAGAGGTGATAGTTCCTCACACAGCTTGGTCATTCAGCTCAAACTAACTTATAAAGACTAACAAATGCCTTTCATTTGATTATGCATGAAAAACTAAAAGTACAAATAATATTTTTGAGATGGTAATTTACCAAAGGCACACTTGCCTTACTTGCATGAAATGAAAAATGGATTTTCTTGAACCATGTTGCAAGATTCCTGCCTGGGTCCCATCACTGTTTTAGCCCCCAAATAACACATGAGACACTATATTAATTTTTTTTTTGGTTTTACGAGACAGGGTTTCTCTGTATTGTTTTGGAGGCTGTCGGTACAGCCCGGCCTCGAACTTACAGAGAATCGCCTGCCTCTGCCTCCCAAGTGCTGGGATTAAAGGCATGCGCCACCACCGCCCGGCCGACACTATATTAATTTTAATGCTATTGACCATTTGCTGTGGGATCTTATCAGCTAGCTCTGAATTTATTAACCCATAATTACTAATATATATTTTTATAAGGACTTATCTTTCCGAGGATGCCATCCTGATGAGTCCTTTCCTCCTGGGATCACATGGCGGCTCCCTACTGTTGACTACATTTCCCAGAATTCTCCTTGAATCCTAGTCCCACCTATCTTGCTTCCCTATTGGCCAACAGTGCTTTATTCATCAACCAATAAGAGAGACATATTTACAGAGTGACATCTCCCATCAGAATCATGTGTCTTTATTCCATGTTAGAACATTAGAGTGTAGATTGCTATACAATCCTTGCCATCTTGGACATCAGCTTTGAGTGTTCTTAATTAAAACAGATTCCTTTTTGTTTCAGTATTAAAAACACAGTTAAGCCAGGCATTGGTGGCACACACCTTTAATCCCAGCACTCAGGAGACAGAGGCAGGTGGATCTCTGTGAGATTGAGGCCAGTTTGGTCTACAGAGAGAGTTCCAGGACAACCTCCAAAGCTACAGAGAAACCCTGTCTCCAAAATCCAAAAAAGACCCACCACAGTTAAATGATTAAAATATTTTTTAAGATTTATTATTATGTATACAGTATTTTGCCTGCAGGCCAGAAGAGGGCATCAAAATCTCATTATAGATGGTTGTAAGCCACCATGTGGTTGCTGGGAATTGAACTTCCAGAACCTCTGGAAGAACAGTCAATGCTCTTAACCTCTGAGCCATCTCTCCAGCCTGATTAAAATATTTTTTTGAAAGAAAAGTAATTTTATTAAAAAGAAAAACAATAAAAGGAAACTGGGACCAGAGTATAGGGTTAGTCCATCCGGGCCTTCAGTGTCCTGGTGGTGATCTTGTCCTTTTCAATGATGTGGACAATGACGCCCATGCCCGATACAGCATCCCGGTCCACAGCGTTCAGCATGGCTTGGGAAATGGTTTCAAACAGGTGCTCTGGGTCCATGTTGGGCTCCCAGAGAGACTCACACATCCCATACATCTGTTCAGAGCAGGTACCACTGACTACAAAGTCATCAGTCACCATGGGGCAGCCGATGAGGTCTAGAGAGCAAATGAAGGGCTTAAAGATCTTCGGGTCCAACCCAGCAATGACAGGCTCTGTATAGTAGGGACCAAACCGTTTCTCATACAGAAGGTTGGCCACCATGCTCATGAGGGTGTAAGGCTTGATCTGCCGGCCTTCCTTCAACTCATACAGGTTCAGCCGGAACTTGAGACGCTGGGCAACTGTCTGGACGTCAGTAGCCAGCCGGGCCAGGCCTATGTAGAGTCTGTCACCCATGGGAAAAATCTTCTGGAAGTCCGTGGTCACCATCTGGGCCTGGATCCCGAAACGCCTGTCCGCAGCGATGGCTACACAGTTTTTTCCCTTCATGGCCATGACAGCCCCTCCGGTTATAGGACATAATAGACATGATTGCGCTCTAACAGCACTCCGATCGCCACTGCGACTCCTGCAAACCGGCTCTGGCTTTCTCGAGTCTGATTAAAATATTTTTAAGTAAAATATTTTTAAGTAAATTCAAACTTGTTTTCTAAATCTCTAAGAGTTGGAGTAATTTGGACTTAGGATAAAATATCCTGGGCAGCTCACTAGAGCCCACTCTGTCGTTGGAGATACAGGTGAGCTGGCTCACTGAGAGAGGGTTGCCCCCCCCCCCTACCTAGCCTAGGCAAAACAATTGAGGTAACTCTGACAAGTGTGGGGGACCTGAATCTCAAAGCCCGAAGAGTGGGAGAACTGGCCCCCCCTTCTTGTTGTGGGCTGCATCAGAGGCAGGCACATAAGAGTTACATTGGTTTAAATTTAAAAGCCACTTGCTAAAGATGGGCTGAAATTTAAAGTGAATATCCATTGTGATCTAAAAATAAATACATTTAAACCTTGAATGTGTGTATGAAGAGAACAGGGAAATGGGCATATTTGTCCACACATACTATAGCATATTTAGTTTTGGAATTTCAAAATGATTTTTCAATTAAAAGGTAATAATTTTTCTTTTGCCAAAAAAATATTTTGCCCTAGGAAAGACATAGCCTGCCAAAAAAGGAACCCCTTTTTATTATATTATTGTTAAAAAGCAGAGGAAGAAAACAAAGCAAGTTGCTTATAGACTGTATGGCAAGTCTATAAGCATATAGTGGAGATGTCAGCTTTAGAACCATATCAAAAGTTTGCCTTTACCTATTACCATGCTCTAAGGCAAAGTCCCAACTTTTCTTAACTTCATTTTGCTTTTTTGTTTTTGTTTTTCTGAGACAGGGTTTCTCTTGTGTAGCTTTGAAAACTGTCCTGGAACTCGTTCTGTAGACCAAGCTGGCCTCAAACTCACAGAGATCTGCCTGCCTCTGCCTCCCGAGTGCTGGGATTAAAGACATGCGCCACCACTGCCCAGCTCTCATTTTACTTTTAAATAGAAATTTTTGTTTTCAAATAATTTATTTAATTTTATTTTTTGTGTGTGTGTGTATTGGTATGAGGGTGTCAGATTCCCTGGAACTGACTTAGAGACACTTGTGAGCCTCCATGTGGGTGCTGGGAATTGAACCCAAGTCCTTCCAGTGGGTAGTCAGTGCTATTAACCACTGAGCCATCTCTCCAGCCCCTTAAATAGGAAAATTCTTTGGCAATGCTGTAAATTAAACTCAGGGCCTTAGCAAGTGCTCTACCACTCACTGCCCTACTTCCCCAGCTCAGGAATTAATTTAAATGTTGCATATAAATTGGGTCGCAGCATACGTGCACTTAAATAGTTGATCTTTTTTTAGTCCCTTGAATTAACGTGGCTAAATATTGCTAGTGTGTAACAGTCTACAATTTCAGTGCAACAGTCTACAATTTCAAGGCTGTCTCCTGGTTTTCCTCTTTTATTTTCTATACTAATAGAAAATTTCTGGTTAAGGTTCACAGCTATAGCTGATGTTCACAATAAGGATTCACATGATGTAGTTTTTACCAGATCAAGGTCTCACATCCGATTTTTCATTGTAAGTTACTATTTTTAAGGAATTATTTCAGTATGTGAACAAATTAATAGTCTTGCCTTGGTCTCCTACCAGGACAGGACTCTTTCATTATTTAAAAAGAAACTTTCTTTAAGAAAGAAGATAAATATGTTGCTGACATGAACCTGGGGGTGGGAAAAACTGTGACAATGGGTGTTTATTGTCCCTTGTCATGAATATTTTTCATTTGTCCTGTCTTGGTGCTTTCAAAACTAAAGTAGCCTTTGTACTTTAGTAGTACAGTTTTTATTCCCACCACCTGGGAGGCAGAAGCAGGCAGATCTCTAAATTCAGGGCCATCCTGATATACATAGTGAGTTTTGGGTCAACCAGAGCAACACAGAGAAACCCTATGGGTACAACAGAGCCAAGCCTGGTGTATATATGTAATTCTAGCATTCAGGATGCTGAGAGAAGATTCTGAGTTTGAGGCCAGCCTGGAAGACAGGGCAAAAGTAAAATGAGGTAGCATAGTTCATTATCAGTGCAAGGATATGTGTGATCCGTTTAATCTGACTTAATTTTGAGAACAAAACATGTGTCACTTGACCCAAAACAGTTAAACCTGTTAGCTTTTTGTCTCATTTGGCCCTTACTACACTTGTCATCATCATACTACTGTAAGAGCTTCTGATTCTTTTGCATTTACTATGCCAATACTAAATAATGAACTCTTCCTACCATGAAAGCATTGAATGTTTCACATGTATTTAGTCGCTAGAATTAAAGTGATTAGGGCTTAATTCTCTGAATTGGAAACAAGAAATTAAAATGAGTTTGCGACCTGATGTGCTTGGCATTTGTGATCACTTAATCGGTTTTAAAATAGCAAAACTTTACAACTCTTACTATTTGATCATTGCAAGTTTTTCTCATTGAAGCTAAAGTGGAAATACTAAAAATGTGCGAATTGCCAGGATGATAGACATTGTCACATTGTTTTCTAGTAGCACGGGGGCAAAGGAAATGGAGATGGAGACAGAGTCGTGAAAATGTTTACATTCCGTCTATAATCTTTTAATGCATTTCTAGAAAAGGGTGCAGAAAAATCTATCTTTAAATGTTTTCCTTTATTTTCAGGCAATTATCAGGCTGTATTTGGACAAGGCCACTGTAATCTGGAATGGAAATGTTGTTAATGGACTGGAAGCTCTTGCTAATTTTTTTGAGACTTTGCCTTCCAGTGAATTCCAGATCAATATGTTGGACTGCCAACCAGTTCATGGTAAGATCATGATCTTTCAAAGTAGCTTCTTTATTTGCCACTAGTATACACTGAGATTTATACCCAAAGCAGCAGTAACCTTTAATCGTAGATAGATTTACCTATTTGAGCAAATGAAGTATCACAAAAAGTAATTTGTACAGTCAGGCTTTGAGACTTTTAGATGCTTTTTATTCCAAAGAACTACCAATAAGTTTGGGATAGTGTATGATTATTGGTTATTGGAACGTATATGAGAAATTGGGACTAAATGTGATTTTTGTTGAAAAGGAGAATGCCTACAGGAAATAAAAATCTATGCTGTATCATAGATTAATGTGTTTGAGGGTCTGTTAACATTTCAGAGAACAGTATTCTGTGAAAGAGTGACTTGGGATATGACAGAATTTGATTCAGAGTGAATTGATGTAATGTATAATATTTACCTCTAGATGGGGTACTTACTATCTTAAGTAATTGTTCATAATGATATTTCCCCTTGTAGCTCCTGAAGAATGGCTTAAGATGCCAACTATGAATGATGTTAGATATCTAATGATATATTAATACATACGGAAACAAATGGTCATGTTAGACTTATAATCTTTATTTTTGGAACTTGAGAGTACCCTATAAATCTTTCTGAATAGAAAAATAACCTTAATATTTTTTTAAACATTCAGCTTTTGACTTTGGGATGGAAGCTCAAAGTACAGAGCATTTATGAAAAAAAAACTTTAGCATTACATTATAAGCTTATTTAGACATGTAAATTGGCATTTTTCTCTTGTTTATGTTGCTAAAGAGCAAGCTACACAGGCCCAGACTACAGTTCTTGTTGTGACCAGTGGAGCTGTGAAGTTTGATGGAAACAAACAACACTTCTTCAACCAGAACTTCCTGCTGACTGCACATAGCACTCCTACCAACACTGTGTGGAAGATTGCAAGTGATTGCTTTCGCTTTCAAGATTGGGCTAATATTTAAAGGAGCAAAAGTCGACCCAATAGGTCCATTAGTTGCAGCAAGAAACATTTCATGTGAATTAATGTAGTTCATAATAAAAGTATTATAAATCATTATGGGCCAAAACAAAATATATTTTTTATTCCTACCAGCATTTTTGCTAGAGCAGCTGCCAGTTTTGATTGTTGTCCCTAAGAGCTTTAAAAATAGTTGTTGACATACCTTTTGCATACATTCCACTACTGATAATCACAGGGTAATATTAAAGATGATCTAAGTGCTAAGATAATCACTGTGAACTCAATCTATTGCACAAATGGAGTCCTTTTGTAATATGTATGGAAGATTACAGCATAGTTCTGTGAGAAGAAGTAGTGGCTTTTCAATTATTAGGATAATTTTTCAATGAAGCACATACCTGTTTACAATCAACACTGGTTGTAGAGTTTTAATGTATAATTATAGATTTTTGAAGTCAGTTCAACTTACACCAGTGAGTATTCTGACACATTTGAATTACATGTAAAGGTTCATATAATTACTTTATCCATACTATATAACTCCATATAAAACACGTTTCCTTTTGTAATGAGGTGATCAACTAGATAGCCAAAAAAAATGTTCTCAGCTGATACTTGAGTATTGGGTGTGTTTAGTGACAGCAATACCTTTCACATATTTTCTTGGCAGTTTCAGGTCAATATATTTATGTGATAAGTGGTAGTAAAGCTAAAAGCTTTAATGGGAGAACATGAAATAAGAAATGTAGAAATCCAAGACTGAAGGCACAAAAGCGAGAGCAGTGACTGGGGGATAAAATCAGTTCTTGTTTTCTCCTGGCAATATAACCTAGTTTGAGGATTTGAATCCCACAGTCTTAAAGTAATCTTACCAAATGGTCATAAGCTCGCTTTTGTTCAAAGAATTGGATTTTAAGATCTTACTTCCCTTCATACTTCAGTATCCATCCCAGTTTATTCAAGAACTTATGTGAATAGCCATTAGTAGTAAACTTAACTTTGTGACAGAATCTGAAAGTTAGAAAGCTACTGCTGACTCTGTTCACCTTAAACTCCTAAGTCTTCCACAGCACTTCAGGCCCAAAGACATCTGTATATTACCTACCACTCACATGAATAGTTCTCCCCTCTGGATTTTGCACTGTAAACTCTATTACTACTATTTAAAGTTGTCTCTAATTTTATAATTTGTTTTTGTGTGGCACTGGATAAAAAAACAATATTAAAACACTTCTGCCTATGCTTAAAAAAACAAAAAAAGGAGAAAAGATCTTCATGATTAACTTCAAAGGAACACTCATTAATTTTATGTATTAGATTCTAAAGACAAATGTGCTTTTAGTTTTTAGTTAAACTTTAAAATTCGTCATAATTTTAAAATATTTTAAGCTAAATATGCTAGCTTTGTTCTGTAGTACAACCAAAATTAAATTTTTATCACTCAATTTTAAAACTAGTAATTTACTTTGGCTCAGAAACACACACTATATTTCTAATCCATGCATTACTAAAATGGAATTAAATAGAATATGGTAGATTATTTAAGTACTTATCAAAATTTACACATTCTATTCAGAGTGTACTTACTCTTGTTTTTAATTGTTTTTTCTTAACTATGTCTTTAGCAAAAACAATTAAAATTCTCAGGTCTATCCTTTCTGCTTGTGAAGAACAATCTCAAAAGCTGTGTACAACTAGCAATAACAAAATTGAACCATTGTGAATTATTTTATCCATACTGTATAACTCCATATTCCTTATAATGCTTAAGTGGCTGGAACTTCTCATACATGGACTAAACTGTGTTTTTATGGCTCATATCTTTCAAACTTGAAAAATATAGTAAAAACTTCATTGTGACAAGTTTTATCAAGTCTTTGTTAATTTGTTTTTGTATTTAAGGTCCCAGAATGGGAACCTGTTCTTTATAAACCTTCATTTTTTTGGCTCTTTTCAGCTTGTTTTTATATTTGTTTGTTTATTTTATGTATATGAGTACTTTGTTTTCATCCATACCAGAAAAGAGCACCAGATCTCATTATGGATGGCTGTGAGCCACCATGCAGTTGCTGGGAATTGAACTCAGGACCTCTGGAAGAGCAGTCAGTCAGTGCTCTTAACTGCTGAGCCATCTCTCCAGCCCCCTCTTTTTAGCTTATTGCATAAAGGAGTTATACTAGTCCAAGTTAAAAGCAGACCCCAAATGGTTATATTATACAAGCTGTGAGATTTTTAAACTTGTGACAAGGGACAGGAGGGAAATTCTACTCATTGCAAGGAAATCCTCACTTAAGCTTCAGAGAGTCACAAGCACTTAAAACCCATGGGCCTTCAGCTGGTCGTCCTCAGCCAGTCCAGTCTCTCTCATGAACTGGCGTGTGCTCTTGTACTGGTCACCCTGTAACTGAATCACTTCTCCATATTCTGGATGTTCAATCACAGTACCATTGCAGGCAAATTTCTTCTTAAATGCCTTGACTAGTTTCTTTTCATCGAAATCATCAGCGATCCCTTGGACAGTGGTAAGGGTCTTCCTGCCGTTTCTCTGTTGATTTCTTATTTGGATAGAATCCTCAGTGCCAGCAGAAAGCAGGTCATCACCTTTACTTGCATCAGCAAAGGGGTCGAAAGAGTGGAGGTTCTGGATAGCGGACATACAAGAAGATTCCTTTTCCGTGGTGGAAGGTGGCTGCGGGAAAAGACAGGCAGCAGGGACTGAGCGTCGGGAAGCAAGGGGGCTCGAAGTGGAGGCAATTGAGTCCTTGGTGGCGGCTCAGTGACTGGGGCCTTTATAAGCCTTCTTAAATTTTTTTAAAAAGTGTTAAAATGTTGAAAACTATGGTAGATAACTTTGACTTTTTTTTTTGTCATTTCTACAGTCCATCTTTTTTCTCTTTCTTTTCCTGCCAAGTATTCCCATTGCAACTCTTTTAAGAGCCAGTGAAGCTTAGGGTGAGAAGTTAGAACTCATTATAATATAATTATATAATATATTAATATTATTATTATTGTTATTAATTATTTTTTGAGGCAGGGTTTCTCTGTGTAGCTTTGCAGACCAGACTGGCCTTGAAATGAGAGAGATCCACTTGCCTCTGCCTCCCGAGTGCTGGGATTAAAGGCGAGCACCACCACTGTTCAGCGAAGTTAAAACTCTAAACTTGGAGAAAATAGCCAAAACATTCTTTTCAGTAAGTATTGAAATGGAAATACAGTTGTGTTCCAGAAATATTTATTCCTTCGGCTTTACTATTACATTAAAAAATATCAGCAGGATCTGGAGAGAAGGCTTAATAATTTGGTGAGGGGTGTCGAGACGGGGTTTCTCTCTGAAACAGTCCTAGCTGTCCTGGAACTCACTCCCGAGTGCTGGGATTAAGGGCTGTAAAGATTCAGGCATTATGCTGGTCTGTCCCTGTCATCTGGCAGAATACACTCAGGCAGTGCTCTGGTCAGCCTAGGATTACAAAGCTATTAGTCTGGACGCAGGTGCAAAGAACCCCTTTAAAAGACAGACCCCTGCTCTCTTACAATCTCTTTCCCACCCTTTGCCTCTCTCTCTCTCTCTCTCTCTCTCTCTCTCTCTCTCTCTCTCTCTCTCTCTCTCTCTCTCTCTCTCTCTCCCTCTCTCCCTCTCCCTCCCTCACTCCCTCTCTCCCTCTCCCTGTTGCCCTGGGGCAGACAGGACTTTTCCTGTGTCCCTCTTCTGTCCTCTCTCTTTCTGTCTCTGTGTCTCTTTACCTCTTTTCTCTCTCCTCCCTGCCTTCTCTATCTAAGAAAACTCACTTAAGCTCTGTCTGCCTGGCATGTTTATCCCTCCACTTCTGTCATCCACACTTGCAATGGAATCCACCGAGGTTCCCCATTCTTTATCAGAACAAGGGCATGAGCCACCATGCCCAACTGATGATCCATTCTTCAATATTATTTAAAATAATATTTCCCTTAAATCCTTGAAGTTTTATTTTATTTTTATTAATATTTTAATTAAATTATAGTCATATTATCTACCCCTCTTTCTCCTTCCTCCAACTTGTCCCATATACTCCCTCCACTCCCTTTCAAAATCATGACATCTTTTTTAAATTACTATTAAACACACGCGCACACCCATAAATGTATAAATGCAACCTCTTGAGTCTGTTTAGTGTTGCTTGTATGTATATGATTTCAGGGCTGACTGCTTGGTATTAGATAAGTAATCAGGACGGTTATTCCTAGGAAAGACTAATTCTCCCTCTCTCTGCAGTTGTTAGCTAACTATAGCTCTTTGTCTATGAGTAGAGTCCTATAAGATTTCCCCCCTTCATATTAGCATGTCTTTTGGTATTGTCATTGTTCATGCAGCTATTTTTTCAGGATGTCATGTATAGCTTCCCTTTCATTTCTAGGAGACACAACCTCACAACAGAGTTTTCGGTCCTTTGGTTCTTACAATGTTTCTTTCCCTCTCCTCTTCTATGATGTTTCCTGAGCTGTCGGTGTAATGATTGTTTTGTAGATGTATCAACTAGAGCTGGGAACTCCATGATCAGTTGTTTTCTGCATTTTGACTGGTGTGGCTTTCTTTAAGAGTCTCCATCTGCTGCAAAGAGAAGCTAGGTAAAAATAGGCAAAGGTTATGAACATTCGTTTGACAGAAAAAAAATACACATGGCCTATAGGCATAGAAAATGATGGCAACTTTCATTACCAATCTGGAAAATACAAACTAAGATACCACAGGTATTACAAATCAAAATTATAAACAGCGTTTTAAGTTCATGGCAAAAAATAAGATGCCTGACAATATAAAATCATGAAGATTTGTATTAAGAAATTTTATATATTCAAAACATGCTTACCAATGAGTATAACCTCTTCAGGAAACAATCTGGCAGTATCTGTTCTCTTGTAAATGTTCCCCAGGAACCATAAAAAAGGAATGATAGAAATATGTTTCATTATAGCAAAGATTGGATGGCAACATATATGTTCATCGACGAAGTGCATAAATTGCAGAGTATCATAAGCAGCAAAAATGAAATGTAGTCATACAAGCAACATGACTGGGCCTTAATAATATATTTATAGAAACAGGAAGTGCAAGAATAAGGATAGATTCAAGAAAATTCCATTTTATAAACCTTAAAATCATTTTTTGGCATACCTACTTATACAAAAACCTATTTTTTTTTTAGTTTTTCAAGACAGGGTTTCTCTACGTAGCCCTGGCTTTCCTGGAACTAGTTCTGGAGATGAGGCTGGTCTCGAACTCACAGAGATCCACCTGCCTCTACCTCCTGAGTGCCGGGATTAAAGACGTGTGACACCACCCCCGATCCCTATTTCTTTTTTAAATTAACACAGAGAAACAGATTCAGTTATAGAATTACATGCAATAAAATTTTTCCTTAAAGTAAATGTAAAATTAAAACGATTTTTGGGACATTGGAGAGATGATTCAGCAGGTAAGCGCACAGGCTGCTCTTTCAGAGGATCTGGCTTCAATTCCTAGCACCACATGCTGGCTCACCACCATCTGTGACTCCAGTTTTAGGGACCTGCCCTCCTGTTCTGACCTCTATAGGCAACAGGTAGACACGTGGTGCACAGACATACATGTAGGCAAAACACACATGCCCCTAAAAAATCTTTTTAAAAAACCCTCAGGGTTAGGGTATTGGGTATTAGGGAGAGAGTAAGATGGGATGCACAGTGCTTATTTCTTGTGTTCTGTCTTCTTGTAATTATTACGTTGCTTTGTATTTTAATCTAGTTTAATGTTACATATGCTTTATGTATAAAATAAAGTGTCTAAAGAATGAAAAAGAATCATAAATATAGAGACTGCAGTAATTCACATTTCAATGTGTGCATACTCAGTCATGGTTGCACAAAAGAAATATTGAAAAAATCAGTTGTTTACCTTTATGGCAAAGAAACTATGAGTGTAAAGCCACAATGTGTATTGTGAAAGGTCCATGATCTTGACCTATGTTATTTTTTCCAAAGTATTAACTAATCCATGGTAGCTTCAATCCCAAAAAGGCACAATTTTCTCTCATTTTACACAATAGCTCTATTCTTGAAAACTAAAAAGGTACTTTAGTTGTAGGTAAAAATAGAATTAGACGCTGTATTTAGGTAAATTTAATTAGGTTTTACACCCACTTGAGCAGCTATCCAGCTCTTTCGAAGTTTCATGGGGCAATCGTTTATTATGTAAGAATGTTCAAAATATTACTTGAGTATCCTCAGTCCCTATCCATTTATGATTAACACCGTACCTTAATCACTGTGACAAACAAAAAAATGTCCCTACAGGTTGCTTAACTTTCTCTTAGAAAGAAAAATGAATGTTGTTTAGCAGTTTCCTCCAAATTGAAGCATTACCTGGAGGATGGAGGAAGCTCGCTAGTGAGACACAAGAGATCGTCTGAGCATGTTTGGGGAAACAGGAACTTGCAAGATTCTAAACGGCCCCTCCTCAGCTTTTCAAAGCATTAAAAAATTGCTGGAGGAAGAGACTGGACTGCCAGGTGCCAAAGTGCCAAGAAGAGCTTTCTTAGATATGTGGAGCTGCCTGCAAACTATGTAGAGAACTCTAGGGTTCAGATTTTGTGAGTCATCCCCGGTATTGGGTTGGGCTTTTCAGTGATGCAGCTGTTTCCTAGTCTTCCTTGTTCCTATATGTAACCTCTTACCCATACTCCTCTTAGTCATCCTTAGAAAAAGCCATTTGGTCACCAGGTTGGACTTTATCATAATTGTTACTTTGATTTTCCATGAATTCCGTGTGTGTGTGTGTGTGTGTGTGTGTGTGTGTGTGTGTGTGTGTGTCTTTATGTTGTGTTCTGTTGTATTTCCCTAGGAAAAAAGTCTGTCACAAAACAGAGAGTACCATCAGATTCACTGCCCTAGTGGAAAGAACTCATTAACTTTTCTATATTTTGGTTTCTTATTTAAATAAACCAAGGAACTCATCAGAAAACCTTTCAGATATGACCATCAAGAATTGGTGTAATGTCAGGTGTAGTGGCACACACCTTTAATCTCAGCATTCCCGAGGCAGAGGCAGGCAGATCTCAGTGAGTTTGTTGCCAGGCTGGTCTACAGAGTGAATTCTAGGATAGTCAGGGCTACACAGAGAAGTCCTATCTCTAAAAACAAAACAACAAAAGAATTGATGTAAAATAATGGAGTGTAAGTGTGTAAAAACAGAATGGAAGAAAAGGGTCCATTAGGGAAAAGAAGGAGTGGGAGAAGACATTGGGGATGAATAAGAACAAAATACACTGAAATATATTTGCAGATGTTAAAATTAAACTCAATTTTTAAGTTTTGTAATGTTAACCAAATTTTTACTTTTCAAAAGTACTTAGTAATTGGAGTCAAAATTACACTGACTATATATAATCATGCAATAAGCTTTGGAGTGAATGTGAGTTCTGATTCTGACTACCAGGCGTTCTGATTCTGACTTCACCAGTAACTGGCTAAATAAACTTGAACAAGTTACAAAAATTTATGTGAACTGCAGAGGGAGGGGTGTGTGTGTGTGTGTGTATGTGTGTTTGTGTGTGTGTGTGTGTGTGTGTGTGTGTGTGATTGAGATTAGTTTGGAAAGATAAATTGAACAGGGTAAGAGACAGAAGGTAGAGACAAGGAAGACAA